GCTACCGCTTGAGCCACATCCCCTGCCCCCCAGTCTTTGCTTTAATACTCACGTGTCACAGTGGTTAGGGAGTCCCTGATGAAGGTAGGGGTAAGGTTGAGATTTTAAATGGTATGATTTGGAAAGCCCTAAGAAATTGATTTTGATCAAAAGTGGAGGTGTGGGGTGTCAGGGTTTAGGTGTTATCCAAAGTACTTGGAAGCCCACAGATAACTGGCACTTGCTACCCTCCTGCCTCAGCCTCCCCAGTTACCGGGAGTACAGGCCTGTGACTCCAAACCTGGCTAAGTTTTGTTTTTTGAAACATCGAGTTTCTCAAGAATGGGAATATCAGGGGCTGGTATCGAAGCTCAGAGGTAGAGCATTTACCTAGCATGTGTGAGGGATTGGTTTTGATACTTAGCACCACATAAAAAATAAATGTGTTACGACAAAAACCACATTGTATCATTAAAAAAAAGAGAATGGGACTGACAGATTTAGATTCACAATTTCACTCATTTCCATTAACTTGGTTGCTTAAGTTAATCAGGTTCTTTACCAGTCCCTCCAGAGTAAGACAAGAATAACTGTTTTGTTTTTGTATTGGAGATTGAACCTAGAGGTGTTTAACCACTGAGCCACATTTCCAGGCCTTTTTTATGTTTCTAAGAGACAAGGTCTTGCTGAGTTGCTTAAGGCATTACTAAATTGCTGAGGCTGGGTTTGGACTTGAGATCCTCCTGCCTCAGCCTCCTGAGCCACTGGGATAATAGGCATAGGCCACCACACCTAGTTTAAGAATAACTGTTAATATTGAGTGCTTGCTTTGTGTTAGGGACAGTTCTCAGCTATTACATTTAACTAAACTTTTACAACCACCTGTGAAGTAGCTGTTACTACTCTTACTTGTTTTTGTAGTGCCAAGGATTGAACCCAGGGATCCCTGTGTCCTGGACAGTCACTCTGCTTCGGATCTATACTCCCAGGCCCTTTATTTAAAAGGTGAGTGAACTGCACCATAACAATGTTAAGTAATTTATCCACAGCTAGTAAGGGGTGGAGCCAGGGTTCCAACCCAGATTGTTTGACACCAAAGTGTTCACTCTAATAGGTCAGTCTGTCTCAGTATCCAGTTACTAAGGTTATTGTGAGCAGTAAAGTTAATGCATATAAAACATGTAGTTTTGGTGCCTGGCTCATAACTAAATTGTATTTGTTGCTGCTGTGATTATTTTGAGCTGTAAACTCTTAAGCTCCAAAGTAGATAATTAAGGTGGATAGATAATTAAAAGAAACAGGGAGGCTATGACCTTCAGTTTTAAAGCTGGGACTCAAGGAAAAACTGTGCCCAATATCACACAGCTAGGGAAGTGGTAGAGGCATTTGTAAAATTCAGATCTTCTATGTCCCTGTGCATTACTATTTCTGTTAAACCAAACAGCCAAAGCTAGAAGGACAGTACAGGTGAGAAAAATATATATTTCCTTCATGTGTTACTGATTCTTTGAAAATGTTTGTGATTCTTTTCAAAGGAAATTCTGTTGTATGGAAAAAATTCCCATGAGTTACTACTTTTTAAAAATTGATGTGTTAAATGGAGTAGGATGGTACATACCTATAATTCCTGTATAGTGGAGGCCGAGGCTGGAGGGTACAAGTTCAAGGCCAGCCTCAGCAACTTAGCAAGATCCTATCTCAAAAATTAAAGGACTGGAAAATTGTGGTGTATATGTGTGTTAAGAATTGTAATGCAAAAAAAAAAAAAAAAAGGACTGGGAGGGCTGAGGCTATAGCTCAGGGGCTGAGCACTTGATTCGCATGTGTGAGACACTAGGTTCCGTCCTTAACACCACATAAAAATAAAATAAAGGCATTCTGTCCATCTATAACTACAAAATTTTTTTTAAAAAAATTAAAGGACTGGGGCTGGGGATGTGGCTCAAGCGGTAGCGTGCTCGCCTGGCATGCGTGCAGCCCGGGTTCGATCCTCAGCACCACATACAAACAAAGATGTTGTGTCCGCTGAGAACTAAAAAAAATAAATATTAAAAAAAATTCTCTCTCTCTCTCTCTTTCTTTAAAAAAAAAAAAAAAATTAAAGGACTGGGGGCTGGGATTGTGGCTCAGCGGTAGAGCACTCGCCTAGCATGGGCGGGATCCGGGTTCAATCCTCAGCACCACATAAAAATAAAGACATTGTGTTGTGTTCATCTACACCTAAAAAATAAATGTTTTAAAAAAAATTAAAGGACTAGGAGTATAGCTCAGTGATAGAGTGCTTACCTACTGTGCAAGGCCCTGGGTCAATCCCCAGCACCACATACACATAAAATAAAAATTAAAAAGGGTTGGGAGATATTAGCATCCACAAGTCCCTGGATTCTACCCCAAGTACTGGGAAAAATGTATAAAATGAGGAAAATTAAATGATATCTTGTTTTATATACAGCAGCATGCTTCTGATGTAAACCCTCCACTTAGATGTAAAAATACAGTAATCAGAACTGCTTGACATCTTCCTGAACAAGACTTAATAGGGGCCAGTATGCTTCACTTCATCCAGAGGTTTTCTCAAGCATCTTCAAAGGTTGGTTTATTCAGCAAATATTAAGCACTGTTTGCCAAGAACTGCTGTGGCTGGGGCAGTACAGAAAAAATGACACAAGTTTTTATTTTTATGTATTCAAGTGGGGGAAGGAGAATTGGATAAAATACAAAGTAAAATATTTAGTAATTCAAGTAGTAAGTATTGTGGAGAACTATATAGTGAGAAAAGGGAATAAGGAATATCAAGAATAGTGTTTCATATAGCAGGGTCAGAAATAAGGGACTGGACCATACAGATAGCTGGAAGAAGAGCATTCCAAATGGAGACAAAAGGGGGAAAAGTTTTGGGATCATTCCTAGCATGTTTGAAGAATCATCAAGATTCTTACATAACTGTTAACACTTTGTTTCATCCAACACTTTTTTAGATTATTGTTCTGCTTAGTTGAAGTCTAGCATCTGCTTACTAAAGCATTGTATAAGAAGAAAAGGTAATTACTCTGGCTATGTACCTTTAAAGGCAGTGAAAATAAATGGTCCTAGCTCTTGAGTCTACTAAAACAATGACAGTTAACACATAGTTTTAATTCACTGTGAGAAGAATTATGGAAGTTTGCATAGGATATTCATACAGGAGCCTAAAGTCAGATTGGAGAGATATTCAGGAAAGCTTAAAGACAAATTTTAAGAAAAAATGTAAATAGTAGGAGCTAGAACTCTAGGCAGAGACATGTATAAAGGCATACAGCTATGGAAAGTTAATCACTTCTTCTTTTGTACTTTATAAATAGAAGAGATAAACAATAGAAAGATAGATAGAAGAGACAGTTTAGAAGGGCTAGTGCTAAAGACCTTGTGTTTACCTGCTCTTCATAAAGATATTTCTTCATGGCATAAAATTAGTGGTAGGTCAAAATAGATCACTAGTTCTATTTGCTAGTTTCTTTTGCATGTTGTATAGCAATTTCTGTGTTTCAGTAAGTTTAATAATTCATATATTTTTTATTTTTAATTGACAGGAATTACACATGTTTATGGGATATAGTGTATACTTGTTTAATACAAACAGGAGGCTGAGGCAGGAGGATTGCAAAAAATAATAACAATAATAACATTACTCTGGCAATGTCATGAGGGAAATCTCTTGTCAATTCAACCCATCTGTAAAGTTTGATGTGCTAATAGAAAGGGTGATGGTGGTGTTGTGTTTACCTTTTTGTTGTTTGTTTTCAGATTGGAATTAACTAAAAATCTAGTGGGTTTCATTTTGTTTGTTTTAATTTTGTTTTCTGGTTGTTTTCTTTATAGATGCTGAAGTACCCATTCACAATGAGCATGGGAACCAGAAGAATAGATATACTTTCTCTCAAATCATCTCTTCATCAGAACTTATTCCTTTTTTTTCCTACATCTTGTGTTTTCCCATCATTTCCAGTATGTATGAGTAAGACACGATGGTATCATACATCCCCATGCAGCTTTAAGAAGAAGCAGAAGCAAGTAGTACTTCCAGCCAGGCCACCGAGCACCATCACTTACCTGCCTGACAGCCCAAAGCCAGCATTATATATAACTTTGGCAGGGCTAATCCCTTTCATTGCTCCACCATTGATCATGGTCATGACCAAGACTTATATCCCTGAATTAGCTTTTACTCAGATGGCTTATGGCGCCAGTTTCCTATCTTTCTTGGGAGGAGTAAGATGGGGTTTTGCTCTGCCAGAAGGTAGTCCAGCTAAACCAGACTATCTTAATTTAGCTAATAGTGCAACTCCTGTTGTGTTTTCATGGTTTGCCATCCTTTTTTCTGAAGGACTCAGTGAAGCCATAGTCTTAGTAATAATAGGTTTGGGGATAGCATTACATGTTGAACTTTTTCTCTTGCCACATTATCCCAACTGGTTCAAGGCTCTAAGAATACTTGTCACTTTAGTGGCTTTTTTTTCATTTGTAGTCACGTTACTACTTAAAGATATTTATCCAGAGAAAGGACCCAAGTAGAATAAATATAAAACTATTTGGTCAAGTAGAATAAATATAAAACTATTTTGTAAAGTTGCATTTTGGCATGACCTTTTATCTCTGTTTGGCTTTTTCCCCTTCACTAGCAGTGGTAGTTCTTTATATGTTGTTTTTCATTTCTAAAAATTATTTCATAGTAATTGCTTGAGAAAGAACAGGAAAATTCCTAACAGGTCTTTGTCATGCCATATTAGGTTGATTTACATTCAGTCTTTTTATGAATGATATGTCATCCACTTAAACATTTCAATGTTTGATCTTGAAAAATGTAAAATAAAAAAGCAAGACCCTGGGTTTGATCCTCAGTACCACATAGAAAAATAAATAAAATAAAGGTTTTTTTTAATCCTGTTAGAGCCTTATAATCATTAAAACAAACACATATGCAACTGTAATGCACTAATAAAAATATTAAAAAGAAATTCAATGGCTCCCCATGATATAGAATTATCAAAACCAGGAAATGGGGCACTGGGGATTTTATACATAGGCGTAAACATACAGTTGAAAAAGGAAATGAGTGATCTAAAACGTGCTATAATGGTTTCCTATTGGAGGTTGGGGAAGACCCCTGTAAGATACAGGACATGAATTGCCTGTCATTAATGATGAACTGCTTCTGGGCCAGGACAGTAGATGTGTGGGTGTCATTTTATTGACTTTGAACTATATGTTTACATTTTCATACATTTCTGGGCAGCCAAATTTCCCAGTTTAAAAAGAAATTGGGGGCTGGTGCTGGGGCTCAGTGGTAGAGCATACGCCTAGCATGTGTGAGGCAGTGGGTTCCATCTCAGCACTAGCAGTAAAATAAAGACGCTGTGTCCACCTCTAACTAAAGAAATTTAGAAAAAAAGAAAAGAAATTCGGAAAAAAAGAAACATAACACACACATTTTCCCACTTTACAAAGAAAATATGCATCTGTGAATGCCTGAAAATAGTTGGTTACATGGAGTTTCACTGCAGTTCCTCGTGGGTATTTTATTTTACCTGGTATAACTTAGTTTTATGGGCTTAAAGGATTTGTGGCTCCAGAATCAACAGGGAACAATATCATGAGAGAAAGCTATATGAGAGAAGAAATGGAGACATATAGTATTTATGAGGCTATTTGGCATGATATATATAGATACAGCTTTACCTCCAACACCAAACAAAGTAAAAAATAAAATCACTATTACATATAAATGATAAAACTCAAATAGAACCAACTTTATATTCTAATGAACCAGCCTATCTAGTTCTATGTCTATTAATTCATAGAGAAGCTTAAAAAAAAAAAAAAAGCAAAAGCAATCACTTGGATTTTAACTTGAAAACCTAGTCTCTAGAATTTTTAGTTTCACAAAAAATTTAGGTGGCATTAAGTACAAATTAATAAATCATATCACTTGGAGTGTGCTGTCTTTGTACAATATAAGAAATTGTCAGTTAACAAATTTTACAAATTATAAGATTAATGTTCCAGTAATTCCTACTGTGAAGAGCAATAATTTTGTTTACTTTCTTATGGGTTGAATTGTGTGTTAAAGTCTTCCTAATCCCTTTAGCATGTGACTTTACTCAGAGATAGGGCTTTTACATAGGGAATAAGGTTAATCTGTAACTCAAATTCTATTCAGATTAAGGAACTTCTTTGCTTCTAAATTGCATATACACTACACTAAACTTTTCCTTAGTCTCAGTTAACTCTGTTACTTCCAACATAGGAACAAGTCATATTTTTAAGATAATTGGTTAATTTCACTTAAAAATTGCTATTTTGTAGGTGAATTAGTGTATTCTTAAAACTGATTTTTAAGAACATTCAATTAAGTACATTGGACAGTTGGGGATTTTTGTTGTTGTTTTGTTTTTTTCTTTTGCAGTACTCAGTATGGAACCCAGGGCCTAGAACATGCTAGGCAAGTGCTCAACCAGTGAGCTATGTTCTTATTCCTTTTTATTTTATTTTGAGACAGGGTCTTGCTAAATTGTTCAGGCTGGCCTTGAACTCATTTCTTTTTGCTTCAGCCTCCTGAATAGCTGGGATTACAGGTTATGTGTCATTATGTCTGACTTTTTTTCTCTCTCTCTTTAGTAAATTTGTTGTGCTTTTTATTTATTTGTTTGCTTTTTTATTTTTACCCTCAAGATACAGTGTCACGGGGGCCGGAGTTGTGGCTCAGTGGTAGAGTGCTTTCCTAGAATGCGTGGGGCACTCAATTTKATCCCCAGCACCATATAAAAACAAATAAAATAGAGGTACTGTGTCCATCTACAACTAAATATAAATATATATGATACACATATAAATATATACATGACACAATGTCACAAATGTTGCCCAGATGACTTTAAATTGTTGGCCTAAAATTATCCTTTGCATGAGCCTCTGAGAGTGGCATGTGCTACTGTGCCTGTACTAAACAGGATATTTAGAAGCATACTGAATTCAAACATTTTGAAGACTACTTTATTTTTTTTAAATATATTTTTAGTTGTAGATGGACACAATGCCTTTATTTTATTTATTTACTTTTATATGGTGCTGAGGATCGAACCCAGTGCCTCACACTTTAGGCAAGCACTCTACCACAGAGCTAAAATACAACCCTAGCCCTGAAGAAAGACTACTTTAATTGTTGTTCATAAAATGGAATTAAAACTAAATATGTAATTCTACTCCAGTTTAGAAATCCAAAAATGTAACTACTAAACTAATAAGTTAATACAAAGAAAATTTAAAAAGCTACATACTTTATTAGTACATTCTCTTTTTCAAAAAAATCTCGTCATTATCTAGGAAACAATAAGCATGTTTTACACTTAACTATTTTCAGTGATCTTCTGGACCTGTTAAACCCCAAAACTGATTGTTTTGACATTACATTTCTGCCATGACAGTGTAAAACATCTCTCTTCATAGTGCCATTTTAGGTTGGTACTAGGCAATACTGAGAATGAAACTGTAGGAGTATTTTGTAAATCTGCTTTGAACCAGAAGGCAGATTCTCTATAACCAGAAATATTAAAGGCACATGAGTTAGAGCTTTTGTAGTCTACAGATCATCTTGATACTTATTCTTTCCTATCTTACAGATTCCAAACAGGCATCTGTGAGACTGTTTAGACTCTCAGGATACCTCACAGAACAGGACACAGGCTTCTCTGTACATAAGCTTTTCCTAATACAAGAATTTTAGTTAAGTTATGAAAGAAAATATCCTTGTGGGCCAAACCAACATATTTGGAAATGAATGCTACCCAAATCTTTAATGCTGACCAAAGTTTTCTATTTAATTAAGCTGTTGATGCTTCTAACAATAAACTAAAAGACCTTAGTAAAGAAATAGGAAATCAAATCCTTGAATTAGTTAACTTTATTGTATGCAGAACCTTTAATACATATGGCCAGTAGAAATAACTTAAAAGTGATTATCCGTACACATGATAAATTTTCAGAACTGAAAATACTTCTTTTTTTTTTTTTTTTTTAGTGAGAGAGGAGAGAGAGAGAGAGAGAGAGAGAGAGAGAATTTTTAATATTTATT